TGGGGTGGGGTGGGTTCTGTTGGGGTGGGGTGGGTTGAATTGGGGTGGGTTCTGTTGAGTTGGGTTGAGTTGGGGTGGGTTGAGTTGGATTGAGGTGGGATGGGTTCTGTTGGGTTGGGGTGGGTTGAGTTGGGTGGGTGGGCACTCTGTGACAAAGCCTGTGTAGAAGTTGGGAACCGGGCCAACCCCTCGAAGACAAAGCCTTGGTTATCCCCCCCTCAGATTTTCCTTTCCTCCTTTGACAGTGGTCCCCACCCCCCTTCCTCCCTGCTCCCAGTAACTCCCCAGGACACTTACGGCAGAAGCTCTGGTTCCTCCAGGCCACAAAAGCTCCCTCCTGGGCACACTGGTGGGCGTAGGCAGCCAGGGCACCACAAAGACAATCATCCTCAGCCGAACAGCTGCACACGTCCTCCAGGCACAACTGGTAGAAGGGTTCCCGCTCCACCAGGTTGTGGCAGGGCTGGCAAGGGGGTGGGAAAAATGGATGACCCTTGAGAAACTTCCCTTGATTGTCCATCTGGGTGGATTTACGTGGTGAGGGAGCATCGTGGTGGATATGCTCTTTGACCCAAGCAAGTCAAGAAGCTTCAACACTGCTGTGTCCAAGTTAGGACAACTTTCCCTCTCTCTCTATCCCAGAGTATCTCAGCCTCAGTGACTTTCGGAGAAACGGACTTCAACTCCCAGCAGACTGGCGGGGGAATTCTGGGAGTTGAAGTCCACACATCTCACAGTCGCTAAGGTTGAGAAATGCTGATCTAGAGGATTGTGGATTGTACCATCTTTCTGAGTCTTCTACAGCAGGGATCCCCAACACGCGAGCTGAGGCCCACTACCGGGCCGCAGCGCATCCAGAACTGGGGCCGCGGAAGTGGCAGGCGCTCACATTTGCGCACCCAGCTTCATTTGCGCGAGTGGCGAGCGGGCGCGCCCGCCGCTTGTGCAAATGGAGCCGTGCACATGAGCATACTCGCCCGCTGTTGGTGCGAAAATTCCCCTCTCCCCTCCCCACCGTCACTGAGGCTGCCATTGTCGGTCTACAAAGCCGGAAAAGTTGGGAATTGTGGTTCTATAGGTATCTCCGAACTCGGCAATTCAAAGAGGTTGTAAAAACGAGGCATAAGAATTTTCCTGCTTAGAAATTTGGGGCGGAGTTGCAGCGTCCCCAGGGACACGTGATCCAAATTCAGAGGCTTGGCCACTGACTCCTATTTATGACGGTCGCAGTGTCCCGGGATCACGTGATCCAAATTCCAACCCTTGGCAAATTGATTCCTATTTATGACGGTTGCAGTGTCCCGGGATCACGTGATCCAAATTCCAACCCTTGGCAAATTGATTCCTCTTTATGACGGTCGCAGTGTCCCGGGATCACGTGATCCAAATTCCAACTCTTGGCAAATTGATTCCTATTTATGATGGTCGCAGTGTCCTGGGATCACGTGATCCAAATTCAAACCCTTGGCAAATTGACTCCTCTTTATGACGGTCACAATGTCCCAGGATCACATGATCCAAATTCCAACCCTTGGCAAATTGATTCCTATTTATGACGGTCGCAGTGTCCCGGGATCACGTGATCCACATTCCAACCCTTGGTAAATTGACTCCTATTTATGACGGTCATAGTGTCCCGGGATCACGTGATCCAAATTCCAACCCTTGGCAAATTGATTCCTATTTATGACGGTCGTACTGTCCCGGGATCACATGATCCAAATTCAAACCCTTGGCCACTGACTCCTCTTTATGACGGTCGCAGTGTCCCGGGGTCATGTGATCCCCTTTTGGGACCCTCCGATGAGCAGTCAACGGGGGAAAACAGGTGCACTTAATGACCGTGTGACTCGTTTAAGAATGGCCGCAATCCCCTTCACAACAGTGGCAAGGGAAGTCGTAAACGGGGGCCAAACTCACATCACAAATTGCTCGCTTGATGGCACAAATGTTGGGCCCCATTGAGGGCCGTGAGGACTAGCTGCACCTTCTCTGCTGGAGGGGGGAGGGTCTGGTAGAGTGCCCCCCCTAAAAGGCATCTGAAGCCTCGCCTCCTTTGCCCCTGCGCCCTTCCTAACACCACCCCTGGTCAGCACCCCTGGTTGTCTTACCTGGAAGGGCGCGCCGTGGAGGGCGGCACAAGCCGTCTCGGCGTATTGCCGTCGTTGGGTGTACGTGCTGCAGGAATCGAAGAGTAAGTCGCCCGTAGGGGCGGGGCAGGCGTGGGAAAGTTGGAACTTGTGGGCGAAAGCCGCCACGCTGGACTCCACGTCGCCCTCCGGGGTGGTGAACTCCTCCTGCTGGTTCCAGTTGTAGGTCCCGCAAAGGCCGCGGACCTGGAGGGAGGTGGACGAGAGTTTGGCCCAGGTTACAAAGTTAAGGTTGGGCACCCTTTCAGGTCCGACAGAGCCCGACAATTGGCTCTCGTCCGGAAGTGACGTGTGTGTGTGTGTGTGGGGGGGTGTTCAGGTCTTGTGGCGGGATTTGATTTATTGCACACAGTGAGGGAATAGGGAGGGAGAAAATGAGGGAGGGAGGGAGGAGAAA